TAAACCCAGGTGGCGCTGTGGGTTAAACCACAGAGCCTAGGACTTGATGATCAGAAGGTCGGCGGTTTGAATCCCCGTGACGGGGTGAGCTTCCGTTGCTCGGTCCCTGCTCCTGCCAACCTAGCAGTTTGAAAGCACGTCAAAGTGCAAGTAGATAAATAGGTACCGCTCTGGCGGGAAGGTAAACAGCGTTTCTGTGCACTGCTCTGGTTCACCAGAAGCGGCTTAGTCATGCTGGCCACATGACCTGGAAGCTGTATGCCGGCTCCCTCGGCCAATAAAGTGAGATGAGCGCCACAACCCCAGAGTCGGTCACGACTGGACCTAATGGTCAGGGGTCCCTTTACCTTTAAACCCAGAAGTAAATGTTTCCATTTTCAAATGTGCCTTGGAAGTTGAACGGCTTCCGCTGAGTTATTTTTCTCAATTTTCTCTATTAAATTTGCAGACTGCCCTTTGCGTCTCAGTTTTCGAACGCATTCCATTTCGGAACTTGAACAGTCTTCTGGAACGGATTACGCTCGAAAACCAAGGTACCACTGTACCGACAAAGAGTGCTGACAGAATTGTGGCAGAATTGGGCCACTGAGAAAGAAGAGAGAGATATTACCATGCTTGAGAGAACCCAGAAGTTTGTAGAAGTACAAAAAAAGCAAAAGCAAAACAAGGTCAAGGGGACAACCCCACCCATTCCCACAATGAGGACTGAGCAAGGTGATGGAATACAGAGTGACAGATGGGAAAACTGTTCGTTTCTTTTAGGGTAGGGCAGAGCTGAATATTTTCTCATTTTCAGGATCAAAAGGGAACTTTCAGAGGCCCCAAATGTTTCCTATCCCCAGACCTCTTTTTATCCATTGTGTGTGGTAGCTGCTTCCACTTTCTGCTGTTGCAAAAAGTGCCATAACCTTTCATTGGATGGACCACATAATGAACACTCTGTCTCACTATCACGTGCCACATAGCCAATAGGATCTGGCTGTATGATGATGCCACAATGACAATTCAGAGGGCCTAAAGCAATGGCATCATTTTTAAGTAACTGTCCTGCAAACATTTTAAAGTAATCTCCACCCCCCAAAAAATATATATGGAAAGAGGAGCACCAATATTTTACAAAGCAGGCAGGTACATACAGTGGCATAGCGTGGGGGGTGCAGGGGGGGCCGGCCGTACCGGGCGCAACATCTGAGGGTTAGGGTTAGGGGGCGCAAATCCACGGGTTAGGGGGCGCAAATTACTTGCCTTGCCCCGGGTGCTGACAACCCACGCTACGCCACTGGGTACATACACACTCATGTTTTAGATCAGCCTGAATTTCTGATGACTATAGTACAGAGATTGCTGACTAACTGAAACCTTTCTAGATAAAAGTTCCTTGGATAGACCCACAACATCAGAGCAGCACCACACATTGATTATTTCTGGAAGATTAAGCTATTACTCATAAAACCGGATGTTATGCTGTAAGTAACCTTGCCACTTCTAATCTTCTTACCCTGCACTCAGCAAGAGCAAATGTGCTTCAGATTGTATTTGTCCAATTACAGAGAGAGCAAATTGTTTGCACCCCATTGCAGTGGGTTTTACTAATGGAGAGGTTAAAGACAGGTAGCTCTTGTGGTCTTTACACTTGAGCTTGTCTCACTCACATAAAGATCCAGCTGGATGTAAATTCAGCTTGGGGAAACTAATCCCCCGTTCATCTCAAGGGAGACACAAGTAGAAGGTTGAGTTCCTCGCTAGATCAGAAAAAAACTGACGCAAAGTTTCACTTGCTTAGTGGCCAGACAAAACAAGACAGGCTCTGTTCAGTATGGTTTAATCTTATTCAGTTTACATTGGAATGGGGAGAGTTTTGAAAAGTCCCAATGCAACATGCTTTCTTGCCCAATAGACAGGAGAGACAGATCCTAATCCTGGAGTATATGTTAGAAAAGGAGGCATAAATATGCTGTGCAGTGGACAGACCAGACAATTGTATAAATGGTTACTGGTTTTGCTCTCTCATTATTGTTGATTTGTTTTGTATTCCTGTATTTTTGAATATTTGATTTTTTAAAATTACCCATTAATAATAATAAAAAGTGTACTAGGTCCAAGTAGTTGACTCTGTTACACATCTGAGTCCAGACAGGATTTTGTAATATGTTTCATACTAAGGACAATGGTTCTTGGACAAGAATCTACGGATCCCTGTCATGAAACCAACATGCAATAGCCATCATGCTAGCAACCCAGGCAGGGAACCTCAGCCACTCTATGAAAAAGGTTGTTGCTATATCCCACCTTTCTGCCCAAAGATGATCTGAAGCTGCTGTCAACTCACCAGACAATCATTTTATATTTCCACAGTATTATTATCGTGTTATCCTTTGATCATATTATTTGAACAAACCCAGACATCTGGGTTAATGGAAGAAAATTCTATTTGGAGTGGAAAGTGTCAGGCAGCGTGGATTACGCTCTTCATCAGTGGTTGTATTAACCATATCTTTCCCCCCAAGATTTGATAGATGCATCTGCCTGTGGTGCAAAGAGACTAGGGGACAGGCAAATCTGTCAGTTTCCGTTTCTCTAGGTGTCTGATTCTTCCAGCTTTTCAGTTTAGCTCGCCCCATTTCTGCATTACTTGGATTTTTAAAAAAAGTTTTAAACCAGAATTTTAGTGTGTATTTCTCCCAATATACACATTTTTGTATCAAATTTTGCTTGATATGCATATTGTTGCAAAGCAGTTTTCTGTTAATGTATTTCTTTTTATTGTAGTGCATTGTGGGGCCGTGGGATGGGTTGCAGCCAAGAGTTGGAGATTGTTATAGGTGGCTGCTGCAAGGGCTGTTGTTGATTGGCTGTTGCTGCAGCAATGGGGCAGTTGATTTGCTGCTTTTAACCCCCCCAAACAGCTCAACAATCCTGTGCAATTCCCCTCCCCCAAAAGCTCAACAACTTTGGGGGAATCTCCCCCCCCCTTTTCTTAATTTTGAGTCCCCAAAAATGGGGGGGGGGGAGGTTAGACACGGAAAAGTATGGTACCTTGTGGACCCTGCAAAGGTGGTGGTTTAATTCTGCTCACTCACTCACTGTGAGCTCAGGGCTGGCCCAAGACATTTTGCTGCCTGAGGCAGTGCAGCAAATGGAGCTCCCACCCGAAGTCAATGTGCGGAATACCCAGGGCTGGCCAATACATTTTGACACCTGAGGCACAAAATCCTGCAAGTGCCTCTCCCTGGGAGTAAACGTTTGTGAAAAATCAGCTAAATGACTAGCCAACTGCACCTTGTCATGACACCCAAAACCAGGGGCCTCACTCTGGGGCTCCTTTTTCAGCCTTGTAGGCCACATTCTCTAGATGAGAATGTTCCAGGGACCACATGAGAGTGGGGGTTGGAGGCCCAAGGCAGAAAGACGTGACCCTTACCTTTGTATATTCCAGCCATACTAAAGTCACACTATACCTTTGGAGACCATTCAAAACACGAGGAGGGTGCAGTTCAGGGCTATTGAGGTTTGTGGCCTGAGGAGAGAGAGTGCATGTCTTAAAGAGAAGCCATGGCTCTTTGCAATGAAAGAGAACAGTAAGGGGAAACGAACCGAGTTTCTCTACCTGCCCCTTCTCTTTTGCAACCCAGGTACCCTTACAAGGTCTCCATTTTGTACCTTGTTGAAACAATGGCAGACCTAGTATGCAAGTGGAAACTAAATCTGTTCAGTACTAGCTTGGAAGAAAGCTTCAATAGCATTCATTATAGTAGCATTTCCCACAGAAAAAGCAGCAGGGAGCAGGGTCTGTGGTAAGCTCATCAATATGCTTAGAAAACGTTTTGCAAGCCGAGTTTCAGGTGCTGTGACTGCAGCCTTTTTTGATCTGTCATTGAGCTGGGAAATTCATAAAAATTCTCTGAGCATATAACACAGCTGCCTTCTTCACAGGCTGCTAAGCATCTGCACTGCTTAGTATGGCTGCCTCCTCCAGGTACAGTTAAAAATAAGGAAAAAAACCTGTAACAAAATATATTTAAAAAGTGGTTCAAAGGATCTTAGGAAATGACAGCTGTAGTCAGAAAAACCATACTGTATTTGCATTTTGATACAGAGGTAATTTCCAGGTGACTTGTTTATTGAGCATTCATCCTGATGTGTCTGCAGGGAGATTAGATGATGTTGGCAATTAAATGAACATTCAGCCTGATTTGTTTGCGGGGAGGCTAGATGATGTTGTGCCAAGGCAAGTGTTGTCCTCAGTGCATTTCCCAATCACTTTCCTTGTTGCAAAATGGGTTTGTTGTGCAAGAGCTCCAAACCAGTTTTTATGGTGTGTAAAATCCCTCAAAATGGTGACAGACCGGATGTGCCCATAGTGTTTGCTTAACAACAAGCTTTCACACTTGGAAATGTGTGCAAACCTGGTCAAAACGTTTTGAAATGAGATGGGGAGTTGGTCTGAATGATTCCTCAAAGATCTCCCACAACCTGTCATTTGGTTGCAAAAACAGGCAGTGGGTCAAACTGGCTGGACCAGTATGGCTTGGCAGGTTCCCTTTTCTTGGGAGGATTAGCACTGATCCACCCGATAGCTGGCCTTTGCATAACTGAGGAGATGGCCATCACAGGTTCCTTCTTGAAGAGGACATGCCTATCTTCCTCTAGTTTCTACCTCCCTGCAAGGGATGAAGAAGTGGCAAGTCCGGACTAAGCCAGGCTGAGAAAAGGAGACGTAGAGGGCTGAGTTGCTCTCTGGAGGAAATCTGGAGGAGCTGGAGAGCAGCAAAAACTGGAGCACCTGTGAATCTCCTCCTGATGCTCAACCTGTAAATGTATGTAAATATAACTCATATCCCAGAACACCAACATTATCTCCAGCGACTACAATTCCCTGGAGGTCTCATCACTCAGATGTGCAGACGACAATATCAAAGAAGATATCCTCTGAAATAAAAAAAAAATCATATAATAAATGTTCATAAATGTACCAACCAAGCACGTACATAGATATGTGGACCACATGTCTGGAGCAGCACAGGAAGACAGTCCTGAAACCGTTTTGACTCCCAAACTGACCAAATGTTTTCTCTGCAAGGAGGGAGGGGGTGAGGGAACCTTCCCATTGTCTCAGGAATTCACCATCTCAAAGGAAAGGCAATCAGATAAGGCGTTATCAGATAACCTGGCAGACAGGAAAAACAACAACATTCAAATTTCTGTTGTAGACCGCCCTTTCTGTGATGTGGGTATGATGTTTGTGGGGTGGTGGTCTTGGGTTACACCCCTTCTGTGGTGTATGTATGATGTATGGAGGAGTGGTCTTGAGCTCCAGGGCAGGGAATTTAAAACATCTAAATAAGGGCAGGCACACCTTGGTTCTGGGTCCTCCTCCTATCTCCTGCATGTGAGGGGAGCACCCTGTTGCAATAAAGATCAGGCTTACTAGCTGTTTTGCTTCTCAATATTCTCTGGTTGGCCTCTGTTATTTTCTCCTACTGATGGAGAACCTACAAAAGACTCTATAAGGGCTCTTGTGTCCCCCATAAGGGAATAAGGGAAGATTTTGTTTACAACACCTCATGAAACCAAGAAGTGTCCATTTACCGTATACCCAACGGAGAATGGGAACGACATAGCCATCAATCAACTTGAGCCAACATTACGCCAAACACACCATCTTCCAGTTTGGCTTGACCTGAAATGTTATCTTATATCAGCCCTGAATCTGCCACGATAAATTCTGTTCCCCTCCCCCATGGCTATTCTGCACCATTTCCCTTTCTGAAGACATAATGCGTCTAAAGAGTGTGTCACGCTCCTTTATTGCTATCATAAAAGCCCTTACTGCAAGCCAACCTCCTGTTTCGTCGCCATAAACGAAAGGAGATGACCCCACCGTAACCCTGCTAATCTCCGGCGGGCTCATCATTTTGTTAATTGGTTTCATCTACCTGGGTCTCTATTATCATTGCCCTTTATATCAAGCAAGGGTCGAGGCTGCCATGTCACTCAACACCATCTTGCTACATTACCCCGTTTCTGAACGTGAATGGACTTTGTCCATCATGGCTCCAGCTGCCCATCTGTTTATTTTGCAAGCCGGTGTTTGCTGCTGCACAAAATCCAGATTGTCGAGTCCCAGGTATACTGTTCTATCTGGTAATCTGGTAGAGCTGTAGATAAAAGAAAGCAGAGCTCCCAGCAGCAAGCTTTTTCTAATTCACTCTTACTTAGTGGAATATTCTGGGGCAGGGAGGGGGAGTCCACAAACAAACCCTTTCTTTGTCCTCCTTGTTGCTATATGTATTAATGTGTTTGCTCAGTGTCAGTAACCTGATAGCCTGGAGCTACCAGGCTCTGAATATAGCAACTCCATAAAGATCACATTCTTTTCTTTACTGTACCCAGTCTTTATATATTCATAGAATAATAGAATTGTAGCGTTTGGAAGGGGCTCCCGGCGGTCATCTAGTCCAACCCTCTGCAATGAGGGAATCTCAACTGAAGCATCCCTGCCAGATGGTCATCTAGCCTCTGCTCAGATGAAGGAGACTCCGCCACCTTCCAAGGGAGTCCGTTCCACCGTCGAACAGCTCTTCCCGTCCTCTTATTCTTCCTTTTGCAATGCTTTTTAATGGAACTGTTCTCCATTTTTATTGGCTGAAATATCTCTGTAGTTTCTGTTCTGCTTACTTCCAGTTATGCATGTTCATAAATACTGTTATAGAAATAGGAGGGGATCCCCCTAAACACTAGGAACAAATAAATTTTGATTTTGATTGGGTTATGGATTAAACAAACATAAACTGCGGGGCTGTGCTAGACAGGGAATTCCTGGTCTGCCCATTGCAAACCAGTCTGGCTGGCTGAAGGAAAAGCAGAGCTGTTAGCATTGCAATAGAGAGCCACTGAGGGTCCTAGGGAACTCCTTCCCCAGGTGTAAGCAGAGACTGGAGATTTGGAAGGTTGCCAGGGTAACTGCTGGGGGGCGGGGCAAGGGGCTTCTAGGAGGAGGAAGGAGGAAGAAGGGGGAGATCCCACCTTGCCAAGGGAGAAGGAAGGACTGCCTGCAATGCTTTGGGCCATGCTGTAAGATCTGGACACCATGCAGGTGGAAAGCATAAATAGGAGAATAAACCCTATTTCTTAAAGCAAGAGAGTCTCCACAGCATCTTCTATTCTCCAGGCCCTGTGTGGGCGCCTGAGATCCCATGTGCTCTTGTTACGGCTTGGCAGAGAGAAGGACAGGAGCCGGGCTTTTGTAACAACATTTAAACTTCTTTCTCCCCCCTGCCCCCCCCCTGCCCCGCTCAGCAGTATGAAGTTGCTGTTAAGTGAAGTTAACCAAATCTTGTGATTTTTTGGGGGTGCAGCTGGAACATTCCAATTGCCTAGATCTGGGGTGCTTAAGAGAATGTCTTACTCTCACATTAGCCCCTGGTATGTATGCAGAGGTCCTGCCAGAGCCCACAAGAGAGGTTCAGAGAGTGGCAAGGAGAACAGATCTTTTCTGTGGTGGCTCCTGATTATAGAATGCCCTCCTCAGGGAGGTTTTCCACACACCAACTTTGTAAATCTTCCAGTACCTTGCCAAATGTTTTTATTCTCCTAGGCATTTGACCCATGCTAATGGCCTGGATTTTTGTCATCTGTCTTTGGTGGAGTGAGGTGCATGATCTATGTTGCTGGGTGATTTTTTGGACAACGAACAATGTTTGTTAGTGGTGTTTTATTGTATATTATTTGTTGTTGATATACAAAAGCTGTAAATTTAAGCAATACATAAATTGAACTAATCTAATCTAGAAAAATGGCATCAAGAAATAGGACCTTTTTGGTGTTAGCCCCCTGCACTGTGGACGACTCTATCAAAAGAGGCCTGGCCAAGTATCCTGTCTTATTTTGATTACATAGTTGGCTTAAATGATTTTATTTCAAAGGGTATTTGAAGGCCTCAACTGAATGCAGTCATAATCCCATTATGATCTTGAGTACGACACGGGTGGCACTGTGGTCTAAACCACTGAGCCTCTTGGGCTTGCTGATTGAAAGGTCAGCAGTTCGAATCCCTGCGACAGGGTGAGCAAACGTTGCTCTGTCCCAGCTCCTGCCAACCTAGCAGTTTGAAAGCATGCCAGTGTAAGTAAATAAGTAGGTAAGCAAAGATATTGTGGACAGCCTTTTATTTCTGCGCTCCAGTCACTGCATACACTCTGTGCTGATGAAAAAGTCCAACATTCCTTTGTGCCAGTAGCAGTTTAGTCATGCTGGCCACATCACCTGGAAAGCTATCTGTGGACAAACGCTGACTCCCTCAGCCTGAAAGCGAGATGAGCACCGCACCCCATAGTCACCTTTGCCTGGACTTAACTCTCCAGGGGTCCTTTACCTTTTACCTTTTACGATCTTGAATATGTCTGTCAGAATGATTTTATCCATATGGCTGTGTGTTTTTATTTAGTGATGTGGTTATATACTGATTTTATTGTTGTTAATGTCTTTTGTAAACCCCCTTAAGGGCTTTTTCACAGGGCTTAAACAAACAGACTTGTGGGGGTGGGTGGGTGGGGGGTATTGTCAATAGCAGCAACTGGTGGAGAAGCCCGGGTAGGTCAGCATTGCATGCCTGGTTTCCCAGCGCTGAGTTCCGCTGTCACTTTCTGAGAGAGGGTTGGGGAGCTCAGTGCAGTGCGCTTGCTGCAGCAGGAGCGTTAGACTGGCTCTGCCGCTTTGCCTGCTCTCTACTGAATTTCCCATGCCCTGTCCCTCCCCCTCTAGGTAAGCAGCAATGAGGCTCAGCACTGGGAAGCCAGGTGTGCAATGCCCTTCTGCCTGTGCCCCCCCCCAACCTGGGGACAGATGAAGCTCTGTGCCATTCACGGAAAGGTCTGTGGAGAGAAGAGGAGGGCTTAATTTAGAAGAAGACTTTCAGTTACCATCCTTTTTTATAATTTTGTCCCTGACTCACAAGTGTGAGAATCTAAGCCAGCAGCATGGAGTCATACCCTACAGCCATTTCACCATTACGATGGCTCAGTGGGCTGTGAAAAATTCATAGGTGAGAGGCTTAGATCTGGGCTGGCCAGTGCTTGAGGCATCTAGCCAGTCGCACCACCCAGAGGCAGGAAAGCAGCAAGGTGAATATCACTGGTTCCCTAGAGGTTATTCTTCTGGACTAGTGCTGTCACATACCTGCAGAGCAAATTTTGCAAGGCTATTCACCCTTTAAAACGAAACAAAACCTATGGGTAAATGTTTTAAAGTCCAGGCTCCGAATGGAGCACTCTTATAAGAGAGCAATTATAATAATCTGCCACTCACTGAAATGAAAACTATTCTTTTCAGTGGACTTAACTGAACTGCAGCCAAATCTGAAACAAAACCACCCCATTTCCTTCTTTTCAAATCTCACTTTGCATGCAAACTGCATCCCTTCAGATGCTCTGCTTTCGATGTGTCTCATCTATCAAAATTAAACATTCTGGACTTACGTTATAAGTCAAGCAGAATGTACTGAGCGACAATCAGAGCTAAGTAGTTTATAATATTCCATCTCTCTCTAGTTGTATAATTTTATATTCTCTGTTATACCCTACTAGCCCCAATGTCTTCCATTTCTCAATTTTGTATTGTTATCCTGTGAATGAATAACTTGAATGGATGAGTTGAATGAATGATGACTCTACCTAAAAATTACTAAGGGACACAAAGCATGGTGGGAGATGAGCTGAACAGCTGAATGAACAGAACATTAGAAAGCCATGGAAGGTCCTCCTCATCTTTGAGGACTTGACCACAGAGGCAAATGGGGCACTGCCCCACTAGCCTCAGCCTCCCCTCTGCCAGAAGCCATCTGCCTGCCATCTTATAGAATCATAGAATCATAGAATCATAGAGTTGGAAGAGACCACAAGGGCCATCGAGTCCAACCCCCTGCCAAGCAGGAAACACCATCAGAGCACTCCTGACATATGGTTGTCAAGCCTCTGTTTAAAGACCTCCAAAGAAGGAGACTCCACCACACTCCTTGGCAGCAAATTCCACTGTCGCACAGCTCTTACTGTCAGGAAGTTCTTCCTAATGTTTAGGTGGAATCTTCTTTCTTGTAGTTTGGATCCATTGCTCTGTGTCTTCTTTACAACCAGTCAGGAAGTGGCTCTGCCTGCAATTATTTCTGGCTCCACCCACTGCTGGCCATCTTGCCTTCTGCCCTACTAGCCCCAATGGGCAACTGGGTGTTGCTGACGTAGGGCAGAAACAGGATCCTTTATTCACAAGATGATGCCTAGCTGCTAGCCCTTTTGCAGTAAACATGTAGTAATGTTCACCTCCCTATGTTCTTAAGATGCACATCTACAATCTACTACCAGACCATCAAATGGGTCGTCTTTGCACTAATGTCAGCCCAACACACGGGACTTTGATACCAGGAGGAGAAGCCATCACCTGCCATACAACAATTGATTAAATATTTGCAACTCTCTCTCCTTTTTTTAACAGGTGGTGTATAATAATAATAATAATAATAATAATAATAATAATAATTTATTATTTATACCCCGCCCATCTGGCTGGGTTTCCCCAGCCACTCTGGGCAGCTTCCAACAGAATATTAAAAGTGTTGACATGAGCACAGAGGAGACAAGTATGGAAACATTTGGACAGATTTTCTTGAGACTTAGGCAACATAGTTGGCCTGCTTTCTTTCCAGCTGTTATGGTAAAAAACCCAACAACCTTTAACACCCTTCCTTATCTGGACAATTCCTTTCTCGTTTTCGTTAAACTGTTTTGTTTTTTTTCTCAAATGAACTGCAATAAAAGAGAGGGGGAATGCAATGCTTATGAATGGTCAGTTTCACTGTAGGTCGTCAGGTGACGAGTAAACAAGTTGTGAAAAAAAGCTAAGAAGGTGCACTGCCATGTTTGAATTATTCCATAATAAATTAGATTACAGACACTTAAAATTTAAAAGGAGATGACTGAGCCACAAAGCTACAGTTCCTAGAATACCAAGGGACAAACCATGACTGTTGAAGTGCAATAAAATTACATTAATCTATAGTGTGGGTGCACCATAGCCCTGTAAAGGCATTGTGCTGATTGTATTGAGGATGGCTAACAGGTCCAAAGTGGACCATATTGTGAATTCATATGGCATTCCCTGAATTGAGCTGAGGGAATTATTACAAAAATAGCAATCTGGAGTGCTGGGAGGTCATGAATATTCCATTTTTCTGCTCCCTAGCTGGTGCTTGATGGTAGCTGAAGAGGGCGTTCCTTGCCCAGGACATGGGGGTGTGTGTGAATTAATTTCAATAAACCCTGCACGGTGTGTTTATTCTGGCCCACTGCATTGTTTCCGCAGTCCGCCCCGCTCATGATGGTTAAATAAGTAGCCACGATTTAGAAGAAGTTCACCATTTAATTGGGTGTTTTGTTCTAACGCGTTATAATATTAGCAAGGGATCATACACCAAACGCAAATCTCCCCTCACCCAGCACTAATACGTAGCCACATCATTGGAGGTGACAGCAGCTGCATAACAAAGGGCAGCAATAAAAAAGAAAAGAAAAAAAGACAATCATAGAAGGCAGGAAATGAAAAAGGCAGCCTCGCTCAAGCAGAAACTGGAGGGCAGGAGGTGGGCGTAGCCAGGAACACCAAATGAAATGACTCTGCAAAGGAGGAGAAGGAGGAGGAGGAGGAGGAGGAGAAGGAGGAGGAGGAGAAGAAGAAGAAGAAGTAGTAGTAGTAGTAGTAGTGGCGGCAGCAGGAATTGACCAGGAGAGTAAAGGACAGTTCTTGACTGTAGCACCGGGATGTTGGTTCCAATAGGAAAACATTATTTACAGCAACTGCAATTAAAAAAAAAATTAAAAAAAATATTTTTATTAGTTTTTTAACATATCATTTCCAACATTCATATAACATAACTTCTTATCTTATACAATATTTTTTACTTCCGTCAACACCTCTGATGATTTTCCGTTCTTTATCACTTATTCTGCTTTTCTTAATTTCTCTATTGCTCTTAATTATCATTAACTAATAATTCTCCTCATAGTCTTACTTGTAATATTTCAAATAGTCCTCCTTACAAAACTTCTTGCAATCCTACTAGGGTAATCTGTTCATTACTATTACTTTTCAAATAATTCATATATTTACTCTTCTAAGAATCTCTGGTCCCGCAGCTTTTGAATCCTTCCTGTTAATTTATCTGGCAGGGGAGATACCATGATCGCAACTGCAATTTTGTTTACAGTGGAGGCAGGGCTTATAACTTTCAAAAAAAGAAAATCCGATAGGATGCTATAGGTACAGCAGGGTGTGTGAGAGGAAGAATATCATACCCTCCAGGTGCCCCTATTTTCCAGGGACAGTCCTGGAATTACAAAAGCCATCCCGGCTTCTGATTTGATCCCGGAATGTCCCACTTTTCCTTCTTTTGTCCCTATTTTCATTGGGAAAATGTTGGCGGGTACGGACTTATCCAACCTCTGAGTCGTATGAAGGCAATCCCATATAGGGAAGTTTTGTTTAATGTTTTATTATGTTTTTATATAGGTTAAAACAGGCATAGGCAAACTCAGCCCTCCAGATGTTTTGGGACTACAATTCCCATCTGGTCCTGTTAGCTAGGGATCATGGGAGTTGTAGTCCCCAAACATCTGGAGGGCCGAGTTTGCTTATGCCTGTGTTAGAAGCTGCCCAGAGTGGCTGGGGCAACCCAGTAAGATGTGTGAGGTATAAATAGTAAAATTATCATTATGGAATGGGATGTCCCTATTTTCATCGGAGAATTGTTGGAGAGTATGCTTTTAGCCTCATCTTGGTTTTATTAAAAAATAGCTCTGACCCCACCCCTACAGAGGCACATGTCCCCTCCCATTTAGGTGACAACTTTGTGCATCTCATCTGACAATCTGCTGTGGCCACAAAAGAGTGTCTTCAATGTAGCCCAGCACTCTGCTGCAACAGACTTATACGCCACCCCTCCTGGGTCGCAGGCTGGAACTGTTGGCAAATAATTGAACTAGATGGCTTTTGAGATCCCTGCAAACTCTATAATTCTGTTCTACAACTAGTACTAAGGGGCAAATGGTCTTTTGTCAGCCATTACTGTCCTCACTGAACAACCCTTGGTGTGCTTCCAGCCAGGGTTTCTTAAGACATGATTCAAAAGCAACTGGTACATATTATGCAGCTATGGTTATTTGATTCATTTCAGTTTAAAGGAGTAAAATTCAAATCAGCCTTCTTCTTCTACTGCTTGATCTGAAAGGAAAGTCTCTCAGGCGCAGGTCCCCGTCAAGGTGGGGCGTTCCAACAATCCTGGGGGGAAATAATAAACTTTACTATCAATGGCACAACTCAGATAAGCGCACCTACAATTAAAAGAGCTGTCACTCAATACATTGTGTAGTAATTCTCTTAATGCCAAGCACCCAATGGGTTGTAAAAAACATTTTTTCCCATATGACTCATGCCACCTTTATTTTGTTAAGCTGGCAAATAGATAGCTGCCTTGGTAGTATATTGCTATGGGAAACTCGTGTTTATGGTGCTTGCATTGCAGTCCTGTGCATATTTATTCAGTGAGTGTGTACAGGATTGCCTTTTCAAGCTGCAGTTCAGTGGTAGAACATCTGCTTTGCATGTAGAAAGTCCCATGTTCCACAAAGGGCCAGAGGAGACCCCCTGCCTGAAACTCAGTCTACTCTAGACAGTACTGCGCTAAATGGACCAATGATCTGCCTCAGTACAAACACACCATGCCTTCAAAGCACTCTTATAACACCTGGGGAATCCTGGGAACTGTGGTTTGTTAAGAGTGCTGGAATTGTATGTCTGTGAGTTCAGTGCCTTTAAGAAACTACATTTCCCAGGGTTCTTTGGGGGAAGCCATGAGTGCTTTAAATGTACGAAGTGGTTGTGACCTAAGGCAGCTCCCTATCTTCCATGAGCCCCACAGTGGCTTAACAGCAAGAGTAGGGTGCCAACACAAAGGGCCACCAACGTATTCTAGTTTTCAAGGTACAGCATCCCACAGGCATCATGGTGAGTTCCGGCACCTCTTTTCTGGAAAAATAGCACTGCTTAACAGTGTCTATAAATGGCTTCCCGAAGAAGATATATATATGTCTTGGTAGAGTGTGCTGGAAACCAGCCCAAATTACACCCCCTATGTGAGCCCCCACCCCTTGGGCACTGCTATATATATATATATATATATATATATGGTCTTTTTTAAAAAAATACATAGTTACCACAGCAACAGAGGGTGAAAAAGCTTAATGTCCTGGAACATGGTGATTAAAGATTGTTACAGAAACAATCGCTTGATTATGTTACCATGGCAGACACATTGAATCATAGAGCTGGAGGGGGACTATCTAGAATCATGGGATCATAGAGTTGGAAGAGATCTCATGGAGGTCATCCAGTCCAAGCCCCGTGATCAATGCAGGATTGGCAATGCAGGATGTAGTTACTGCCTCCCTGATGGATGGCCTTCCAGCCTCTGCTTAAATATCTGCAATATGTTCCGCTGAAAACCTGGAGGGCCTCTGTACAGGGTGGGAGCAATTCTGTGGAATTCAATCTCTAAGGAGATTCATCAGGCTAGAGAAGCAATAAAGAGCTTCTCTCTGTATTCCATAATAAGGCACTTAAGGGTACTTAAGTAATGGACCTTATCAAAACATTTTTTGCTGCTGCTCTTCTTCCGACCTTATTTGCCAGTTTTTATTTCGCTGAAGCTTTGCAGAGCAATCCTATGGCTGGGGAGAGGGAGAAACGTAGATTGTTATAAGGGTGCTAGGAAATGTAGCTGTGTGAGGGATAAACTACCATTCCCAGGATTCTTTGGGGGAAGTCAATGGCTTTAAACGTATGCATTTCCATGAAAACTAGAATCGTTAGCAGAGAGGCTGGAGTCACAAAGAGCATAACTGAAAATAAAATTGTGAGGAAATCTACTTTTGCAAGACCTCAAGACTCTTCCATCTTCCAAATGGCCTACTACAAACTGGAATAGCAAATTGTTATCCTACCCGCAGCAATGGTTTGCTGAAACTCACCTCACACATCGAGAGCTAAGATGTTGAGAGAATTCACTCAGTTCCCAATGGCAGCCTACCCCTTTGTGTTCTTTACCGAAAGGAGAAGACAAATATGATGTTATAATATACATACCCACAGAGTTCAGCATCTTGGATGCCCCCAGGCAAAGGCCCAGTATACCTTCTAGCTAATTTGGAAGTACCTAATTCCTCCTTTAATGGTATTTCCCTTATGCCCAAGTTTGTTACTTTTCATCTTGGATGTCATCTACAAAAAGGCTCTTGCTGCTGATCACTGGTTCTTATGTTGTCTCTGGTGTTTAATTAGATTTAATCCTAGATTCTACACAGCAGAACTAAGGAGAGGCAGAGTCTCAGGCTACTACAGCAGCTAAGGAAAGAGGCTGTCTTTCGTTAATGTTTGTTCTGACAATTCTTTGTCCCATAATTTTCTTCCGCCTTTGGAGGAAGTCAGGTGCTCTGAATGTATGGTGCATACACAACCTAGGCACATTTTTTAAAGCCAGATTCATAGAACCATGGAGCTGAAGATGGATCTTTTAGGTCATCTAATGCAACTATCTACTGCAGGAAACCCAGAATCAGAGCATTCCCATGTATGGTTGCTTGCAGTTTACCAACCCTACGAAATTGGTTGCATTGCTGAACTGCTCAAATGTTTATCTTAATGTTCTGGTGAAATCTACCTCCTATACCTTGAGCTTGTCCAGTCTACTCCTGCCCTCTGCCATATATTTGCAAAGGGTGATCTCCCCATAGTACTAGTCTTCTGTACTGCTAACCATCTTCTCAACCTATCGCAGGGGTGTCTGCATCAGGGCCGGAGACCCTGTTGCCATCCAAAAGTTACTGGACTCCAACAAGTCTGGCAAACAGTACTGACAGATATCACAACGGTTTCTTTAAAAACCCCCACTGAAAAACATGATTTCTCCATTTTCCATGCTTAGACCAGGCATCTGTTGCCCCTGTGTGTGGCAAAGGGGCCAGCTCTGTCATTAGACAGAGTGATATGGCCACCTCAGGTGGCAAATGCTAGCGGGCAGTGGCAGAAGCCCTGGCTGTTTCCCCTGTGTAGGCCACGCACCCTGCCCTGTGCCCCTTAAACAGAAGCACTGTGCACAAAATTTGGCCCTGGATTGCTCTGGGTCAAATATGGTCATATATGGTCCACCCAGACTGCTCTAAGGCTGTGTAAAGCAGGGAGGTGTACTCACTGTGAGGAGAGGGGGGAGGAGATGCACAGGCACCCTGTGTGTGTGTCTCCTTCTTCCCACCCCATGACTGTTTACCCACAGGGCTGTTCAGGGCCCAGATCCAACTCAGTCCCGGATTGTATTGGGGCCACTCCAAAACACCAGCTTAGTCCCTGAATCAGGTGGGTTGGGGTGGGGATTGCGCACAGCCTCAGGTGCTGCCTCAGGCACCATGAAGGACACTATCCCAATTGCTGTGTTGGAGTGGGATTCAGCTGCCAGTCCAGTTGACCTGTGCATGGAATAAGGAGGGGAACAAACCCATCTTCTCCATCACCTTTACCAGCAAAAAGTCATAGCCAGTCCTGTTTTCACACCGAAATACTTCACTGCTCATAGCCTTTCAATACCCAGATTTAAAGGATCAGCTAAACATATTTACCAAGCATGGATTAAACAAGTCTGAGTGTAATCATTTTATCTTTATCTAACGTGTTACAGGATTGTAAATAAACCCTGGGATGCTAATTTCCATGTATACAAACGTAAGGGTACAAAAAAAAATGACCCCCCCAAACCTCCCCTGCAGCATCAACAAATTAATTTACATAAAGAGAAACAGAGGACTAAACTAAATTTATTAACTTTAAATGAGTTCAGAAAGCTGCATGCCGTGGCAAGGAGGAGCTGGGTAGGAGTAGCAGAATCAAAACCCTTTTCAAGATCTGAACTCAGTTCCACTTTGAAAATTGTGTCCTCAACCAACCTCTTCTTTTATTTTAGTCACTGAAAGCTATTTACTGTCAGGCTCGAGGCAACTTAGGCGTGGGGGAAACTTCTAATCTAAAATCAGCAATTTAAGGAATATATCTTTTTTTAAAAGGTAATCATAAGCCTCTCTTCAAGTGCACCCCACAAAGCCATTTACATACACTTATTACACCTATAAGGTAAAGGTAAAGGGACCCTTGACCATTAGGTCTCGTCTTGGCTTGTCTGGGGTTTTGGCCGTCATCTCACTTTATTGGCTGAGGGAGCCAGTGTACAGCTTCCAGGTCATGGGGCCAGCATGACTAAGCCGCTTCTGGCAAACCAGAGCAGCACACGGAAACCGTTTACCTTCCTGCCGGAGTGGTACCTATTTATCTACTTGCACTTTGACGTGCTTTCAAACTGCTAGGTTGGCAGGAGCAGGGACCGAACAACAGGAGCTCACCCCGTCATGGGGATTCGAACCGCCGACCTTCTGATCTGCAAGTCCTAGGCTCTATGGTTTAACCCACAGCGACACCCGTGTCCCTATTACACCTATAAGCACCAGTAAAAAAAGGGAAGAAGTTACTATTATGTTAATAATTTTATCTTGCAAGTTGCCGTACAGTAAAGAACAATAACAAATCATCTACAGAGCTCTCATGTGTCATTGGTACAGCATAGGATTGGAAAGAAGTGATAAGTATTGAAATCAGATAAGCAATAACTACAGCAACTATCAGATATAATCCCTGCATAACCCAGCATGGTTAGCAGGAGGTTGCGAACTCTCAAGAGAAGTATACATGAAATCTTAGGAACGGAAACCATATTGTGTGAAGAAGAAAAAAAATCAACAAAAAATATGCAAGCCCAGGAGCAGGTTTCTAGTCTCTGTATGGTCTCTCACTTGGGCCCATCTGCACTATAAATTTAAAGCATGATCATATCACTTTAAAAAGTCATGGAATCCTGGGGACTGTAGATTGTTAATAGTGCTGAGAGTTGTTAGGAGACCCCTATTCCCCTCACAGAGCTACAGCTTCTAAAGTTCCCTGAGAAATGACATTGACTGTTAAACCACATTGGGAATTGTAGCTCTGAGAGGGGAATAGGGGTCTCTTAACAACTCTCAGCATCCTTAACAAACTACACTTTCCGGGATTCTTTGTGGGGAAGCATGGCTGTTTAAAGTCACATTCCTCCCCAGGCTGCATCCATTACTGGTCCTCCTGCTCCACATGTCCCTCAGTTGTTTTTGCCCAGCTGGAACGTGTCCTTGAACTGTAATAAAGCCTCTTGCTTGCACTGATGGAGAGAAATGTACATATGGCAGGAGTGTGGCTGTAGAAACCTCTGACTTTTGTGTGGCTAGGCAGAGCTTTCCAAACTTTTCAAGGTTAAACTAACCCTTTCCAGCCCCAGGAAGAGCGTTCGTGTGACGCACCTACACACTGCAGCCGACACACAGTTTGGAAAGCTCTGGGCTAGAATATAGCCCACTGTACAAAGCTAAGAGTGACATCCAATGTCCTACCCATTTTTGCCCCTAGCCCCGTCCACCAATGGCATGTGGTCCTCAAAAGGTTCTCTATGAGAGAATATGGCCCTCAGGCTGACAAACATTGATAAAAGGTCCCCATCCCTGCCTTATACAATTATTTTCTCAGGCCCTGATATCTGTTATATGAGGAGATGACTGGCCCATCTTAAAAGGTTATTGTAAAGGTATTTGTGAAGCACTTGGAAGTTGTTGTTGTTATTGTTGTTGTTGTTGTTGTTGTTGTTATACTGCCCTTCATCACAAGATCTCAAGTTGAAGTGCACTAAAATGAGTGGGGCAATAAATGCAGGAGGAATGATGTCCCTCCTTATCCTTCCCTCCAACACTTGTCAAGAGCTTATCATGCCTGAAAATGCTGTCGCAGGGGTATGTGGACATCCTTGGCCCTGCATCCCAGGTCGGCTGTTGTTTCAAGTAGCAGTTGTAAGGTATGAGTTCCAAGAACATTGCTACGTCTCCTCATGTATCCTTGGATGTATCTGGGAACTGTGTGTGCTGATGGTTGGATTCTATGAGCTAAGAGAGTTCTCACATGCTCCCAATAATGTCATCAGAGTGGCATTCCTGGGGGCTAGTGATGCAGAAAACTTTCCTTGGGGCTGGTGAAGTTTTTTGGTACTTACCTTCCATCATTGTGAGCAGACGTCTACACAAGATGGTTCCTAAGAGCAGTAATGGGTGATGAGGAGGGGTGTTGTCTCACTCACGTGATCTCTCGCCAGTCAAACCACTGCTGCTTACCAGGAAATAGAGCGGTAAGGCAGCAGGGAGGCTGATGCGGCGCAAGTGTCCCAGCAGGAGCACCTGATTGCCTCCATTGTTGTGTTTGCGCCGCGCCAATCTTGCCGCCGCCTTGCCCCATCCTATCTACTACCTAGAGAGCAGCAGCAAGACATACAGGTGAGTGGCAGTGCCCCACTGCTGCCTCAGAGGCTGCTTTATGACTGGGCAGCAAAACATTTTTCTGCCTGGGATGGACGACAAAATGTGCCCCCACAATTCCATATCTAGAAGTTGATTGGATTAGCACCTGAATGCTGGAGGTATCCTCCACTGCAACAGGTAGCACCAGGCCAGTTTAAGGGTCAAAAGGTATGCCTATCTAGCACAAACAGTGCTGTCCCCCCAACACCTCACCACTGCTCCTCACCTGCTGCTCTGAGGCAGCTGCTTCACTCTGCCTAACAATAGGGCTGGCCGTGCTTCCTGAGATGTTCCAGACAGAATTCATCTGTCTCAAGACTGTGTTCCAGCCAGAATATTTCCTCTGATGACGAGGTTTTCAGGTCTTGAGTGACGATAACCCCTCTGCACCAGGCACTGCCTTTGGCTTTCACCCTTTCCTGCTCTTCCTGCGTTTCCCAAGATCAAGGCAAATGTGTGCATTTGTGACACACTGCAAAAATATGTACAAATTGCTGTCCCCCTCCCCCCCAAAAAAATTCTGTCATAATGGGTAGGTGGGGTAGGTGCTTTTCAACAGAGCTCTGTTTCCGTTTGTCAGCTGTAAAGGATAAAATACAACACTGTGTTTCCATTTGCCTCATAATAGGATCTGAGTGCTTGTTATGTAAATTAGATTTCTGTTAAAGTTCAGTTTTAAAGAAAGACTAAGTGCGTATTTAATTGAGGCCACTGCTGTAAATGCTTCTGTAAATTTCCATTCAGTCAATGAGACAGGTCATTCTAGCATGGAAGAAGTAAAATGAGGGAGGAAAGGGAAGGAATGAAATATTGAAAGGCCAATTTTGAAGACAGGCCTGTATTCTGTGTTCAAACATGCAATATTTAAGATGCATTATTTTAATTTTTTTACTTTTTAAAAAAGCATTTCTTTTTAATACACAAATGTTCGCTTTGGTAACTGCTAACAGAACTGCGGAGAGCTATGCTAATGACTCAAACAGATGCTATTTTGTTCTGCAAATATTTTACGAGTTCTTTACGCAAGTCTTTTTTTTTACGAATAAAAGGCGTAAGAGGAACTGGCTTCCCAGTGGATGTAGATGTTCGCTCTGCAAGACTGCGCAGAGCATGCAAAATTATCTATACCCTCCTGGCACAGAGATCTGTCTAATTACACTGTTTTCACTACCTAATCAAATGGAGTTCCCAGGAGTGGAATATTCTAAGTCTTTACAAGAGGCAGACAACTCACTCAAAACTGAACACTGGAATCCAGGCTCTCAAGAAGCTCCTGTACTTGATGGTGAAAGGAGATCACAGCCCTTGGATAGCTGTGTTGTATTCTGGAACTCATTGTTGCTAAGGGCAACCAGGTGCAGAAGGGGAGAGCAGAACTGTTGTACATGTACATCCAGGGGCTTGCCATTCTTTTCGTCCTTGTCCCTGGCATCGGACTTGGGCCGTGCAAGTCCCACAGGAACATGAGGGTGAGAAGTGAGGGACTGATGCCCAGCTTCATTTTCTCACCCAATACTTGTTTCCCACGCTGGCTTCCGCTGGAATCCGGAAGTCAGTTCTGTCCCTGGGGCAAGGACAGATAGTCATAACCAATGCCTAAGCAACCACTCACATTTTTTGTATTTGAATAAAGTTGTGGCCAAAATTATGCCAAAAACTTTAAACAAAAATTGATGTGTGATGTGTGAATTTTTTTGGGGGGGGTGGCATTGTGGGACTCAACACGCAAAAACATCAACAATAAAACCAATTGCATATTTTTTAAAAAAATCAATTGCATACACAAACACAATTTCAAAACAGTACAAAGGCTAAACACCACTGGGTGCAACAGCTTTGTGCTGTTGTTGTTTTAAACTCTTTGTCTCCGTCCCCGCTCCTGCGTGTGTGTGTGTATAAAAAATTTGGTGCATGTTTTTGTCATCACTTGCAAATCACTTCAAGATGCCTCAAGGGAAGCAATTAATAAATTAAATAAATCACCACCACTACAATTCATCTTAGGAAATTAACAAGAGTTAGGTTAGGGCTACGATGCGTCCAGGAATCGAGCTTAGAAAATGGAGTCAGGGCAGATTTTTCCTGCATTGGCAAAATGTCCAGGGAAACCCAGATGTATGGCAAGTAGGGCATTTTTTTAAAAAAATAAATGCTTTGAAAATCCAAAAGTCCCCAAACCTTTTTTGAGGGGGGGGGGAGATGTTCCCCCAAAAAGCTCAACAATCATGTCCAGATTTTCACTTTTGGGAATATGGTAACCCTATTTTAGGTTAAGTCAGGCAACCTTCCTTGAGATGATAGTTGGGGGCAGGTCGGGGAGATAAACAATTATGGATTTCACAGCATCCAAGGGGTTAGCGTGAAAAGCGCAAATTGAATAGGCTTCCTTCTTCAGAGGACTAAAAGGGTTAAGGTTTAGGACTTCCGGGTCAGCGCCATCGGTGAATGGCGGAGTTCCTCCGTCCGGAGGAACGGGCTCCGTGGAAACTGGGTCTTCCCGCCGCGGCGAAGGTGGGGACCCGCTAGAAATCCCAGGCGGAGGAAGCCTGGGAATGTGGGGTTCGGCAGGGCACCAGGAGCGCCCCCCTACTCGCAGGGAATCCCATTTAGGGGCTCCGGAGCGAAGTGGGGTGAGAAGCGCGGTGCTGCGAACTGACTGCTACTTTCACGGAGTGAAGCCGCACAGCCATTGCCGGAGAGCGCTGACTGTTCCTGTGGACAATTGGATTTAAAACAAGTACCCGTGAGTAGAAACGGAAAATTGGATCAAGAAATTTCTTAATTTGGTAACGAAGCGGGAAGGTTCAAAACAGGAAGTCTGCCTTCCGCTTTTTGTATATAGACTAAAGCAAAAACTTTGTAAGCTAAAGCCTGGAAAGCTGTCAAAAAAGTTTAAATTTTCTTCATTTAGAATTACTGAAACCCTCTTGGAAGCAGGAGAAAAGGGGGGAACTTTGTTCAACCCTAGCAGGAGAGGGAGTGAAGAAGGATAAGTTTCCACCGTCTCTAACCTGGGAACGGGGTGTCAGAGACAGAAATTGTTGGAGAGGTTCATTGACTGTGAATGGGATATTTTGACAGATAGCTAAAGAAGAGAAACAAGCTGATTCCAATGTTGCCTTTTGCATCCTAAAGAAACAAAATATCTGAAAAACGAAAGTAATTTTCCTTTGTTGGACTTGCCTAAAAAAAATGGATACAAATAGAAACTGTCTCCTCTAGAGGGAGCTTGTCAAATTGTTGCTGCAGTACATTTGAGGGCTCAACAGATGTGAGATTAAGACCGTGGGAACAGGCTTTTCTGACCTTGACTAAAGATGAGTTGGAAAGAAGACTGGGTGCTTGCCTTATGCAAGACAAGTGCCCTGCTGGAACAGATGCATGAGAAGATGGACTTGATGAATGAGAAAATGGATTTGACTGTTGCAGTTAATAACTGTGGGCAAACAGGGAATATTGATACAGAAATTATCCAGGGACCAACTCATGAATCTGTACTGACTGGGCAAGTGCAGAAGATAATGGAGGAGGATGCGGTTGCACCCCAAATAATACAAATGGAGAGTCCCGAGGCCCTACAGGAGTATGAGCCGCTGTCATTGAAGATTGAAGTTGGAGTGGGCCAGGGGGAGTC